CACGAGCAGGGGGGCGCTAGCTGACCTGACGCAAACGCAGACGCAGACGCAGCTACCTGAGGGGACACAGTAGTCAGTGTGTACAGACTCGAGCCAGGCGCTCGGGTGAACGTGGCCAGGTGCTGACCAGTCCGGGAGCACGTACAGTGGGTCACACGCTGACCCCCAGGAGTGAACTGGTCAACCCACTCATCCTAGAGGTCAGCTCCACTCACCAAGTTCGTAGAGAACGAGGGGAGGTGGAGACCCGACAGGGAGCCAGACGGGACAGCCGGACACGGCAGGACCGTGGAGGAGTGTGCAAGGACGGGGCCCCCAGAGGGGTCCGCCAGGGAGACTGCGACAGGCCGACTGAGCGGCGTGAGTGTGGTGCTGTCGCGAAAGAAGGAGCGGGAAGCACCTGAGTCAAGTGTGAAGGTGTGGAAGGCCTCAGCAGGCGCAGTACCAGATAGAGCAGGCTCACCAGCACCTGGAGCAGCAGACTCACTAGCACCTAGAGCAGCAGCCTCACCAGCACCTAGAGCAGTAGACTCACTAGCACCTAGAGCAGCAGCCTCAATACCTGGGTCAGGCGGGACACACAGGTAACAGGCACCCTCAGCACTAGTAGACAATGCATACATGGCAGTGAGGATAGCATCATAGTCAAGAGCAAAGATATCCACCCTCTGCCTAAGCAGCTCCAGCCAGTCGGGGAGCTCAGCCTCGTCGCCCCACTCGGTACGCCAGGCGTCGCTCAGACAGGCGAAGCAGCGGGACTGCGTGTGACCAACCGTCCCGCAAGTCTGACCAGCCCGATCACCTGTGCGAATGACGTACGGGCAGCGAACGGTACTCCGAGACCCTCTACTCTGAGCGTACCACTCACGAAGCTGCAGGGGCGTAAGGGTCTCACGCGGGCGCCGCTGCAGCTGCATCTGGCCACTGCCAGAGGCTCCCGACTGACCAGCTCCAGGGCGACTGCCACGACGGCCGCCGCCACGACACCAACCAGCGTACCACTCACGAAGCTGCTGGGACGTGAGGGACTCTCGCGGACGTCGCTGGAGCTGCATCTGGCCACCGCCAGGAGCAGCAGTAGCAGTAGTAGCAGCTGTAGCAGCAGGCAGTAGCTCCTAGGGCAGCAGCACCTAGGGATCCTTTTTTTTATATATAATTATTTATTTATTTAGGGTTTGGCAGGGCGCGTTTGGCGTTGCAGAGGCGGCTCGCGGGCTGCAGGGGTGGCTCGCGGGCTGCAGGGGCAGTGCGCTGGCTGCAAGAGGCAGGCGCGCTGGCTGCAGGGGCGGTTCGCGGGCTGCAGGGGAGGCTCGCGGGCTGCAGACGGGTGGCGCGCGGGCTGCAAGGGTCTTCGCGCGGGCGGCTTGCACGGGGCGGCGCGCGTGCCCTAGGGCGACGCGACGGGCAGGGCAGGGCGGCGCGGTGGCCCTAGGGTGACGCGACGGGCAGGGCAGGTGCGGCGCGCGGGCCCTAGGGCGACGCGACGGGCAGGGCAGGGGCGGCGCGCGTGCCCTAGGGCGACGCGACGGGCAGGGCAGGGGCGGCGCGCGGGCCCTAGGGCGACGCGACGGGCAGGGCAGGGGCGGCGCGCGGGCCCTAGGGCGACGCGACGGGCAGGGCAGGGGCGGCGCGTGTGCCCTAGGGTGACGCGACGGGCAGGGCAGGGGCGACGCGCTTACCAGGAGCGGGTGCAGGGCAGGGCCACGACGGGCGGTTAGGTCAGGGCCACAACGGGGCGGCTGTAGGGCAGGGCCGCGACGAGGCGGCGGCAGAGCAGGGCCGCGACGGGGCGGCAGCAGGGCAGGGCCGCGACAAGGCGGCTGCAGGGCAGGGCCGCGACGGGTGGCGGCAGGGCAGGGCCGCGACGGGCGGCGAGGTCAGGGCCGCAACGGGGGGCGGCGGGGCAGGGCCGCGAAGGGCGGCTTGGTCAGGGCCGCGACGGGCCGTTAGGGCAGGGCCGCGACGGGCCGGTAGGGCAGGGCCGCTACGGGCGGCAGTAGGGCAGGGCGCGCGACGGCGCAGGTGAGGCAGGCGCGAGGCGCGTTTCGGGCAGGGCAGGAAAAAACGATCGTGGTGGGCCCTTTAAAAAAAACGTTCCCACTAGGGAACCTGCTCTGAAACCATGTGAAAGATAGAACGAGGAATCATTGCATTGAGCAGCATGAGGAGTACAAGTAGGAAACCCTAAAGTGTTGTACCCCATATGAGATACCCCACTACAGCCTACACAGACTATAGCATATAAGTTTGACAGTACGTCGGCAGGAGCTGCTGGTATTTCGTGGTTTGAGCACATCTGGTGATATACTGTCCTATCAGAGATCCAGCATTACCACTATCGTAGCCTTAGTACGCGGCGTGTTGAAAGGCACCCGTAATGTTAGTGATACTTTTGTCTGAAAAGCAATATCAGCAGCAACCAGCGGGTCGAACATCTCGTCCGGGTCATCGCTGAGATATCCATCTCCCTCCTCTTCCGGCTCCAATTATAACACTGCCGTTTCGCTGTCAGAGTCTTCGTCCTCAGCAGCATTGTCGGGTTTGACGACTCCGTGGGTGTTAGTCGCATCATTCGCGTTGACCTCCTCGACTTCCTTCCCTTTCTTATTTGCCTTGTTCAACTCTTCATTATCAGCAGGTTGCTGGGACAACGGATCTGACGAGGAGCTCAGGAGTGTCTTGTCACGCAGCAGCAGCAGGGAATCGTCCTTCAGCGGAGAGTGCGGAGGATAGTGAACCCCATGGAAACCTTGGTAGTTGGTTAGCTTTCATATATGATCGATGCCTGATAACTTCTGTAACTGGAGAAACCTGGAACTCCACAATGTCTTAGCAATGTCCCCTTTGTGGATATAAAAAATAGAGAGACGTGTAGAGCACAGTATCCGGTTCCAAAACGTTACATCAGACTTAGGATCATGTAATGAAATTCTAGGCATTTTCCGTCCCGAAGATCCTAGGAGCCGCCATGGCGCAGAGCTAGTCATTGTCATTGTCATTGTATGAATGAAGTGTCCCAGTAAGGAATCGGAAACAATACTTACAATAAGATATTGTTATTTGTTACTAAAACCAACAATATTGAAGCAGACGCACCGCCCCCTACGAGATACTACGTGGACTCCCTGTGCAACCCCACAGAGGCGATTGGTAGTTGCACACCCGGCAGGACCTACGGTAACCCGGTGGATTTGATGCCTAGGAAAGGTTGACTACGTGCAGGAGTTGACGATCGATGTCCGAAACTTGATGGATGATTCTGTAGCAGCCCTTGGTCAACGATGAAACGTTGACGGAGGTCTTGTAGTACAGTTCCACCGGGCAGGTGGATTGAGGCACTGTCGTCAATTTGGGCACCAGAATTATTTTCAGCTTGCCAGCGAAGTTCTACGGACGCGAGACTTGGAGGGAACAATGGGATTTCCTCCGAACTCCAGTTTCTGCGATGGCTAGCGAGGCTAGAAAATATTCTGTTACATCCTGAAGCCTTGCACAGTCACGATCCTGCAAAATCTGCGGGCAAGTTGAAACAGTCGGCACGTGTTGACCCCCGTCTTAGGGGTGTCTGAAGTGCCAGCACGCTCGAGGGAGGGTGTAAACTGACGCGAGCCAGCTCGCACCACACCCTCGCGCTGTTACCAAGGTCAAAGTTACAGAAAGCAAAAATTGCCCGTTAAACATGGAAACTCGACGCTGTATTTAATTCAAACTTTCGCCTTTACGTTCGCTTCTTCACCAATTATTTCCATATCACGTGCTAATTGCTTAGAAATCCGTTGTAATTTGGCCAGCATATGAAGTAGGAGCACGGAGCTTAGTACGGTGCCGTCTCTGGGCACTGACAAACCTCCCCGTGTTTTTCCCTCTCGATCGAATTGCGCGCACGGGCACGTGCTGGGCGCCAGGGCGTGCCAGCACGGAGCGGTGCACCGGTGTTGCGAGAGCGGTTGAAGCCCTTCGCAAGTGCGACCGCCGCACGGGGCCGGTGTGCAACGGGCAGGCCAGAGAGACGAATGTCAAAATTAGTACAAGCAGCTGGCAGCGCCGCAGGCGGGGTCTGTACAGTGTATGTCCCAAAAAAAATCCCCAAAAACAATGCACATGAATTGCGGGGGAAATCCTCCAGCCATGTCTGGAGAAAAACTCTCCATTCACTACCGCGCCGGGCATTGCGTTCACAAGGGGTGGGACTGTGAGTGCATTGTATGGGCGAAGTTGGGGTTCGATTCGACTGTCTAGGGTTTCATCGAACATTCTAGTGACACACCCGGAGCATACCACAGGTTTGCTGGCCCGGTGCAGAGAGTCCCGCCATCGCTTTAGGCATCACGGGCCAAGATTCCGTACTGATCAGTGAAATTCCTGCGAAACCCTAAACAGATCATCATTCACAAAAGAACTGTTCTTCCTTGTCCTTCCCCAGGTGAGTCGCTCAGCCTCCACCCTGAAAGTGACTCGCGGAGCAAGCGTGGACTCAAACGTTGACCTAGTCACATCCCCAATCTCCGCTGGGTGTCAGGGTCGTCGCCTGTGGACTCAAACGTTGACCACGCGTGCGAGCCTCGGGCATCAAGCTAGTACCATGGTACAAAGATCTTAGTTCTGACATTCGAATGTTCTGACAGTCAAGAACCTTCGGGTCAGAAATAGGACACCCGTCACCTTGGGAACCCGGATCCCGGGTCAGACACTGTGATGTACTACTAGTAGTACTACTTCCATACTTGTACTAGTCCGAGTAGTGCGGTCAAGCCATTTTGAGCAGCCAAGCTTGTGCTTCGTTAGTAAGCTGCTGCCCAGTCGGATAATTACTAACACGAGAAGGACTACGCAAGCAGCCTCAACATCAACTTTTCTGAGTACTACCACAGGCCAGTGGCAACCACACCTTTCTGTCCGACTCAGACAGAAAAGGGTCAACTTCTTTTCGACTCACCTCCGGGTCACCCTCATCACGGATCCGTCGAAGACGAGTTGTCTTCCAACGACCTACCGCGGCAATGGCTTCGGAGTTAGCCACACCGATTTTCCACGGGCCCTTGGCGGATCCTCAGCAAGCGCCGCCTGGCCCTCAGCCGCTGGGCAGCTGTGAGCCTTGCCAGCACAAGTTTGAGTGGCCCGGGATGGGGGAGGTGGTGGCAGAGGTGGTGGCCTCCGACGGGCACAACTGGCTAAAGTATGGACAGAAGAAAATAAAGCACTCAAGTGCCAGGTCAGTCTTGTTGACTTGCATTGAATATCGCTTGAGTGGTTGACTCCTGTTGCTTCTGCCGTGCCTCGTGTCCTCATGGTTGGTTGAGCATTGTCAACCCTAGCTTGTCCATGATCTCAGTTGACTCTGTGCCCTTTGTGCTGTGCGAACCCATCCCCCTCGCTCTGGCAGGTACTACTACAAGTGCAGCCTCTCCAAGGCCAAACCTCGCTGCCCCGCCAAGAAGACCGTCGACATCAACTGCCCCGACTCCATTCAAGTCACCTACCGATGCCGCATCCACAACCACCCCATCGCTCCCAGCCGGCGTTCGCCTTGCTACCCTAATGTCCCCCTTTCGAACCACCCTGCGGACTGCCATCTGGCTTCAGGTGCGGTTGACTCTGAGAAACCCGACGTCATTCGACTCGTTATTTCTGATGGGGAACTGAAAGGCCTCATGCTAGCCTTGCAACATGAGAGCGCGGGAGTGTCTGCTGCTGGGGCTTCCTGTGCTCGTTGTGCTGCTGTTGATGATGATAGTGCCGCTGCTGGTGATGTTGCTGTTCGTGCTGGCGCTGTTTCTGCTGCTCATGCTGCTTCTGCTGCTGCTGATGGTGGTGGTGGTGCTACTGCTGGTGATGGTGCTGCTGCTGGTGCCGCTGGTGATGGTGGTGGTGGTGCTGCTGCTGATGCAGATTGGGCTGCAGCAGCCCTCTTGCACTCTCCCTGTCAGAAGGAGCAGTCACGCATGTGTCAGTGGCTGCGCACGTGGGACCTTCCATCGGTGTTCCCCCTGCAGATTCAGCGCCCATTATCTCCTCTGTGGCTAGCTGGAACTGACCACTTAATGGCCCTTAATGGCTACTCCACTGACCTCAACATTAACACTTCAGCTGACGTGGGGAGGTCTACAGTGCCTGAGGAAACGCCTGTCAGTTACCAAGGAAAGACCGAGAGCCATCAATCGTGTGATGAGGAAGACAATTTCACATATACGGTTCACTCTCTGCTGGGAGCGGCGCCTACAGACCAAGAACTCAAAGAGCTTTCACTGCGACACATTCTCAGTCATGCGGGACTTCTATCGGATAATTATGAAGAGATGGCGACTGATGGATGTGCTGCATCCGATGCTCCTGGGATTCAGCCCCAGCAAGATGCACTGTCACTGCAGCAGCAGTGGCAGCAGCAGCGGC